AAATTAATTATTGATAATTATATAATAAAACTTATTTACAAAACACCTAATATACTTTTAACTCTCTTTTTTAACACAGATATATCCTCCTTCCAAGTTTTATTATACACAATATTTTTAAATATATTTATATTATTAGTTCTATTAAAATCATTTACAAACTGATTATATATAAAACCTACTAACTTGGATAATGTGCAATTCAAATTTTTTTTTGGTTTTAAAATGACCTTTTGATCACTATTCTTTTATTCAGTTATTATTAACTTTTACAGTATGATATACATCATACCGTATACATATTTAGAGAGTATAACTAGCCATATATACAACTTTTGTTGCCTATTTAAGTAATCCTTTATTACTAAGTTCTATATTAGCTGCTATATCTATAACCCTACTATGTTATCTATTAAATCCTCTGCACCTATATACATTAATCTTCTAACCAAACAAGAATACATTAGTACATCTTTATTTTCAGATTCCTATTTAGAACTTTAAAAATGATCTACTTATAGAAGTTTTTTGTCCTTGAGATAAACCTGCTAGAGCTTTTCATACTCACAATCCAGCTAACCTAGACTTCAGTAACTTACACTGAGTCCAAGATAAGTACTTGTGAACTGAAACCACTATCATTATCTACTTCTGCTCTTGTAAAGTTTATCCAAACCCTAGCATACACTTTACGGACTAATACTGATTTTTCTTCATTAACAGCATCTAAACACCCAATTCAGATAGCCTGGAAAGAAACCAGTGGGCGTTCCTTTAGTATTTTAATTGAATCCTTTTTCCTTGTTTATATAGAGCCATCTCTATATATATATAGCCTGGTTAGTATTAGTGTTTGCCAAACACCTGATTCTCGTTTAGTTTACTGTTGGTGTCTGATCGCTAATAATCATTCTTTATATAGTACTATTAAAGATCTGTGCTATCTTTTTATTTGAGACTTGCCAAGCGGGATTCTGTATGCCCTAGCCCTTAGATTTACACAACCGCTTCACTTGGGTTTTGTATAACTTTTGTATCACACTATAATTCTATAGTCTTTCAGTACAAGCTGGTACAACCAAAATTACAGATCTGATGATTCATCAAATTATACAGTCTATTATAATATATTCTGTAAAATTTGAATTTTTATCACAAGTAGAATTCAAACTCTTGTCCTGCTGCTTGGGGGTGCGACAACTTACCAACTTCACTAAGTCACCACACCCTAATGTGCAATTTATGTTTTTATATAGCTTCTGATTATGTATAGTAACAAGAATCCTAAGTGTCATTCCATAAGTATAGTTTATATTTAATGAATTATATAAATTTACTATGAAAATACATTTTTGCCTTGGATCTAATTTTTGCACCAAAATTGAATCATCACATACAACTGTGTTTGCCAATTGTTTATTTTACAAAAGCTCTGAAAGGTTAATATATTTCTCCAAATTTCTCTTAAAAGCATCATAAAGAGATACATCTGAATCAGTCTTGAGGCTATATAGAAATGTAATTATTTAAAAGCTCTAAATAAGTAAAAATAAATGCAAATTATTAGATGCCATTATAATTTTTTTTATTTTTTCCTGTGGTTGATCTGAAGTGGCCTCTTTATTCTATAAAACAAGTTAACTTATATTAGAAAAATACCAATAATCGGTTTCTACCAGAATTTATAACACATTACCATATTCAATGCCTTTATTAGTCTCAAACCTACAATCCTTTTGTAAGCAATTCTCATCTACAATAGATGAAATACGTTAGACTAGCGCGAAATATATTATGTGCACATAATATGGTACTTAATTATTACAGCTTATTTATGCTGTAATTATTAAGTCATAAATACTATATTACCGATGTCACATTCTATCGCGACAATAGGTTGCAGCCCTAGTCGCGCTATAAAAAAGTCGCACTTCATATTTGCAGCAAGCAACACTATATGGTACCATTTTTCAGTAATTAATTAGACTACGAGCATTTGGAAAAAAGTTATGCACAGCCGGAGAGGATAGTACCTTCGACATCTCGAGGCTCCCCAAAGATATCGCTATTCCAGGTAGTCACCGCCCTAACCTTCAGCAGTGACTTCCATACTCATCTGTTGTATTTTCATCATATAATAATTTATACTAAATATAGCACTAACCTCTGGCATATTTGTTATTTTCGATTATTATCAACTATTTTTCCAATACCGCAGCAAGTATAGAACCAATCCAACTCTAACTGTTACCTTGTTTAAACTAGATATCTAATAAAATAACTGTTTAACTTACTTCTAACTCCAATGTGTATTATTAAATTGCTATTTAAATAACTTATCGAAATTTGAAATATAGCGAATCATATATTTGTAAAAAGCACCATAAGGTATTTTAGCAAATAGAATATTATTTTATTATTTTAAATAAAAATAAAACAATGAAAATCAAATAAAATTAAGTGATTATGCGAGTAGAATCTTTTAAAACTATATTTTGATTTCAAAACTAACACCGCATCTAAAGCATCAAAGTTACATAAAAATATTAAATCGTGAAAGTAAATGTGAGGGACCAGCGTGAGGTAGTATTCGTTAAATATTCACTTTAAGGATAATGACTCGAACGAGTGATAATATAGTTCTTTTCACATTATGATAAGGCAGACAACCACTTTAGCATCACCAACCTAAAAAATTTCGCTGCCTGGTCAATTCAAATTTCAAGCCGAGTGCGACATAAAGAAACAAAAATTCACTCAAACCCTAACATTAGTAGCGAAACTTTTAGGTTGATGACGCTATCTAGGTTCTATCTAAAGATGCTGGTGAAATTAAAACTGTGGTGAAATAATTTTGCCACTATTGGTGGGTTTGGTGTTGAATTAGTGAAATTTGGTGAAATTAAGTTCACCAGCATCTCAAATCCTATCGTTTTATAAGCAAATTATCGTAATTAATTTATGACCTCGTTAACAACTATATTACAGTTCATATTAAATTACACTATGATAATGGACAATCTAAGGGATAAAAAAGGCTATGAAGGAAATACCGTTTACCACTGTAATAATAATATACGACCTTGATATAGTGATATGGGTATTAATCAGGAATAAAGCCTACGTGACAGCTTTGCACCTAATTTGTAATAATAATATCCTGATCTGTTGGGAATTAGCGGAAACTTCGTTTCCGCTTATTCACATACAGTCGGGGCATTATTAATTAATCCGCCCGTGATCTTGATATAGTGATCGGGGGATCAATATTAAAATATCAGATCACTATATCAAAATCACGGGGCATTTAGTAAAAATACCTTGATCTGTATGTGTACAAGCGGTAACTTCGTTTCCGCTAATACACAACGGATCAAGATATTGTTATTACTAATCTGGTATATACTACTTACTGTTGGGACACAAAACAAACTCAAAGACTTGAATCTAACTGTACCAGCCTCATGTTGGTCGCCGCAATAGATAAAAAGATAACTTACCCACAACCAGATGCAGCTTGGGGATTGTCTACAACTTGAAATTGCGAACCGATCAATTCTTCAGTATAATCTATTTTTGAACCCTTAATCATTCCTAAAGAAATTGTGTCTACTATTACTTTCGCACCATTTTTCTCAAAAACGCTATGAATAAATCAAATGTTTAATAATTTTATATTTTAAATATGTTAAAGTTTGTATTAAAAAAAAAAAAACACATACACATCATTCTCTTTGATGGTATTCGAATCCATTAAGTCATAAAAATATTGAAAACCATGACATCCACCCGAATCAACTGCTATTCTTAATGCATTATTGTGGGTTTTCTCCCGCTGTGCTATGAATTTAAGTTGCTAAATAAAATTTCCGCGAAAAGGCAGAAAGCTTAAATACTTAAAACAAGAAAAAAACGGATAAACTAAAATTACTAGAATTTACTTGCTTTAATAGCTCGATCTGTAATATCGATTTTCATGTCATTGTCTTTATTTGGCGAAAATGACGAATCTCCTGACAAAAAACGAAACCTCTGGTGAAAGACGGAATCTTTAGCGAAAGATGAAATCTCAGAAGCCCTAATGAAAGACGAAACTCTCAGAAAGATGAAAGGTCGAGATATAGTTTTGGACAAGATCATTTTTCCATGATGTCGAGAGTTAAGACTAAAATCGTTGAAAAATATCAATCGTAACCAAAGATATCCCGGATTATATATAACCTTGGTCGGGAATTTTACCAAAATTGTAACCTAGCCATGGCAACAAAAAATGTCCGAACCGCGTTTACTAATTCCCCGTTTCTATTGGCCATCAGTAAATCGCATTTCTTATTGGATTAAATTGACGGTATCCAATAACGTGATATCACAGACCAATCAAACTACCCCAACGGCACCCAGACGATTTCTGCTATCATGTAGATCTTGTGTAACATTTAATATTGATATACTGATAAAAATAATACGTACTGTATATTTTAATACGTTGCAAAGCTCACAATACATTAATTTTATTATTGTAAAATATGTAATTTATCAATATTTCTATTGAAAATAAAAGTTTTATTTTTATTTTTATAGAATATATTTAATAACTTTCATACTTTATGTATAATTTTGTTTTTCTTTTTTCGATTCTTGTAAAAGATGCTAATTTGAAAGTTTCGATAATATTATAATCAAACTTTAGCAAAGAAAAGTGTTAATTCACAGAAATATTTTAAATCACTAATAACTTTTTTCATAATAGAGTTATTATAGCTAGTTAAAAAATTTGAATAATGATTACTATAATTTTAAGTTCTATTCAAAAACATTATATGATTATGATCTTTTCATGTTTGTAGATTTGTTGTTCTTCTTCTATATGTTTCAATATCCATTACCATTTTTTGTAACCCTGCAAAGCTGCTTTTTACAGAATTTGTCTATCTATAATTTTGCTTTAATCTTTGCTCTTGAATGATTTTAAGTGCTTTAGTAAGACATAATTCGTAATCTTAATATAAATCGTCTAAATCATTCTCGCTATTTTCATTATCTTCAAATCTTTCAATATTTTCAATAATTACTATATTTTGCTGATTTTCTTTATCTTGCTCAATATTGATCATTAAATTTGTAATATCTTGAAAAGATCTTGATACTATAATTTAAATGATTACTATTATACATTAAGATTATTATATATACGTATATATACTTTATTTAATACATATATATAGTCAAATATTATCTTTTAAAAAATAAACGGGTATTTTCCTTAGCACTGAACTTGACGAAAAAATTCCAAATTTGTATTAAATTCACAATTTTGAACAAGGTGTTTACAAATAAAGAATCAACTCAATAAAAAAGATTTGCAATTATATATTCATCATTTAGTATCTACAAAGTAGGTATTATTAATATTTTTTTTACACAGAAATTGCCATTTTGACTTAAAATTTTTTCACTATGATGCTTTTTCTCTTCTATTTAAATATTTCTGATATTGTACTTAACAATGTGGAATAATTCGTAAAATAATAATATAAATTAAAAGATCAATATGTGGACAAAAAACTTTTGGCAAGTAGTCACGCTTAATCATTTTCCAATGCAATTCAATAAGCATTGTCATATATAATATGCAAATTTCAGTTGAAATTAAAGAATGTGCCCAAAAAACCTACATATTTTTTTGATACTAGTAGGTTCACAAATAAGCCCATAAATATTTTAAATTATTATCAATACATAAACGATACATTTCATAAACTACAGATTCCTAAATTTGTTGATCTTATAAAAAATTTCTATTATTATCTGAAATAAGTGAATGTAAATAAAAATGTTTATTCATAGTCTCAATAACAATAGACCATAAATCTTTCGAACAAAAAATAAAGTTATAATTTTTTTGTTCTTTTTTGAATAAATCTGATAAAAGAGTGTAGAATTCTTTATCAATAAAATTGAATATATCATAAGTATTATTCGAGCTATAATTAATCATTTTTGGTAATGTATTATCAGAAAGTCGCTTTTTGATAGCCTTTTTTAAGTGCCACAAGCAAATTTGCACTTTTACAGTGGTCTACTATATAAGTATAGACACTTTTTAAAATTTTATATAAAGCTAAATAAACAAGATATTAAGCTAAAAATAAAATTATAAATTCTTTAAATCTATAGCTTTTAAATAAAAAAAGATTATAAAATTTGATGCAGTACTTTTTAAAATAATTAGAATTATATGATTTTGTATAATATTACACTTGTACTAAAATAGAAATTGATTAACATAATTGCTTTATATTAAAAGTTAATTTTTTATTAAGTAAACTAAACTTAATTATTAAGTAAAAATTGTTCAGCATAACAAATTATATATATTTTAAAATTTTTAAAAGTTTTTAAAAAATATTTATTAAATTACTAAATTTAGTAATAATTACTATATTTAGTAGTTTAAAATTTTAAAATTTACTATGTTTTTATTATAAATTTGAATTTAAAATTTTAATATATATAAAACTTAATTTTTTATTAAGTAAATCAACCTTAATTATTAAGTAAAATTTGTTCAGCATAACAAATTGTATTTAATTTTAAAATTTTAAAATTTTTAAAAAATTTTTAAAGTGAATATTATTATTAAATATAAAAATTAAATTATTAAAAACTAGTAAATTGTACAAATAAAAAAATCCAAATTTTTACTTAAACTTAAATATCTTAAAAAGTACTGTATCAAATTTTATAATCTTTTTTTTATTTAAAAGCTATAGATTCAAAGAATTTATAATTTTATTTTTAGCTTAATATCTTGTTTATTTAGCTTTATATAAAATTTTAAAAAGTGTCTACACTTATATGATAAGCTACTGGGATCTTCTTTAGTATAGGTGGGCATATATAAATTATTACAAGATTATAATATATAAAATCTAACAAATTTGAGCTAATTTAAATTCTAACTCTAACTATAACCCTAATAATCTATAAAATTATTTAAATTGGCTCAAATTAGTTAGGTTTTATATATTATAATTTTGTAATAATTATATATGCCCACCTATACTAAAGATAAACCAGCTACTGTATATGATTATATCATATTATTATATTATCTTTATTATTATTATTACCTTTGCTTTTTGAAGTTTTTATTGTTAAAAGTTTTAAAATTCTACTCTTACATTCTAAATTACACAAATTTATAACTCTGACAATTATTATCTAAATATAGTAATTGTAACAATCAAAAATAAAACAATTAAAAATTTTCATATATTATCAATTGTAGCAGAGTGATAATGATCTGTGGCTGTTGCCAGCAGTTGTAGGTTCGATACCCGCAGATGAACTTGCAAACTCTGCTGACAGGTCATGATTGCAGTATCTGCACTATAATAGTTGTTTTATAATTTTTGAATTTTTAATTTTGTAAAGCAAAATTTTTCAAGAAGTAAATAGTGTTATATTAGTAGATTTTATTAATATATTTTAGGAGATTTTATTAGTATATTTTATTAGTATAATTTATATTTATTATATGTATATTTTTAGCTTTAGTTTAATAGTAAAATTTTTGACAAATAGTATTAATTTTAATATAATATTAGATATATTAACTAGTACATTAATAGGTACGTTAACTGATATGTTAACTGATACGTTATCTAATATATTAACTGGGTTGTTAAATAGGTTGTTAACTGGGTTGTTAAATGAATTATTAAATAGATTGTTAACTGAGTTGTTAAATGAGTCATTAACTAGGTCATTAACTAGATTGTTAACTAGGTCGTTAACTGGGTCATTAACTAATACCAAAAGATATAAAAACCTTGCATTTTTCCCTAAGGCAGAGCAGACTGTCTCTGTCCTACTTTTGATTCTTTGTTATTTATGGTTTATTTTTTTGGAAGTGTAGCCATCGGCTACCTTCTTTTTATTGTATTTAATAAAGTTTTTATTGTATTTTTATTGTATATTTAAAGTTGATCATTGCTTTTTCTTTCTTCTTTAAGTATTTATTTTTGGTATATTGAGTTAAGCCATTGCTTTTTCTCCCTTTTCTTGAGTATTTTATTGTGTTTTAAGATTAAAACCATCACCTCTTTTTTTTATTTTTGGTTTATTACTTTACTTTAAAGTCTTTTAGTTTTCTTTTTTATTTTATTCTTTTTTTATTTGCAAATACATTTCTTAATTCTCTTTCATGTTAAGTTAAGTAGTATAGCTTTACTAAAACCTTGTATTGCTATATTACAATATTAAATTTTATATTTTACTATATATATGATTATTATATAATAATAGTATAGAAAATCTTGTCAATCTGTTTACTATATCAAAATAATACTCTAAAACTTGTATAAATCCGAATTTTTCTATCTCTTCAATTATTAATATTACAATTTTGGCTTTAATAATTGTCTCAGCTAATACTGAAATTTAGAGTCTTGATTTGAAATTAAACTCTCCTAAAATTCATATATAATCTGCAACATTAATTTGCAATTGAGTTAACTGTTCTTCCAAATATAATAATTCAGTTTTTTTATTCAAAAGCCTTTCTAACTCTTCTTTAATTAAAATTTTTTTTAAGATACTTTGATAAACAGTTAATTATCTTTTTAGATAAGCTTGAATTAAATCATTACTAGTTTTTTTTTTCAATAACTTGCTTCTAAGTTTCGAATAACAAGTTTATTATTTTTTTAAAATTATTTTTAACTTTATTTTTACTGCTAACTATTAACTTTTCTACTTTATCTCTTTCATTTTTTAACTGAAGAGATAATTCTTTAATTTTTAATCTAATCACTTCTTGTTTTAACTAAATAAAGTTATAATAATCTTGATTAGGAAAAAGTAAATTAAAAAGTTTCTCTAATTACTTCTCAATAAATTTTGTTTGACTCAAATTGCTATTCAGCTAAGTAATAATTTCTTCATTCTTAATGTTGTCTTGTTTAACTTTTATTAACACCTCTTTAATTCTTTTTATCTTTTCTATTCATACAAAGTTTAACTGTTTGTATATATAGATATCTTCTAACATTTTTTCTAATGTTTTTTGCTATACTTATTTAAAAGTAACCTTGAAAAAAATTAGCATTAACCAATTCAGTAGATAGTAAATACTGTATAATAAAGTGTTTTCTTCTCTCTTAAAATAAAATCATTCTAATTAATATAATTGTCATAATAACCATTAGCAGAATAGTTCTTATTAAATATATTTCTTGCTTTCAAGTAAATAATAAAATTTTCTAAAACAATATTATCTATCATAATAAACTATTTAAATTAAACCAAACTTTATTTTTAGCTTTATTACTAATTAACCAACAAGTAAAAAGCTTTTAGTGTATAGTGATTAATGAACGAAAAAGTTTTGAAAGATAATTAAGTAAATAGTAGAGATATTAAACTTGTTAGATTTTACTATATAACTTGAACTATATAGTTTTAGTAGTTAGATATATTAAAATAAAATACTTTTAGGGCGTGGTGACTTAGTGAAGTAGTTAAGTTGTCACTCCCCAAGTAGCAGATTCAGTGTTCAATTCCTACGGTGATGATTATTGAATACTTAATCTGTATATCAATAGATATGTCGACTTAATTAGATATGTCAGCGTAAGATGCTGTAACTAGATCTCATATACTACGAGCTAGAGCACTAATTAGGAAGGACCACTTGCAAATCCCAAGTATGGCATTCATTTGGGAAAGGTTGATAGTCAGGTCTATGAAGAAATGCAAGCTGTACGACTGATGCAAATCTACGATAAAACCATATAAGGGTTATTTCCAGATGCAAAGTAGGACTGCATACTAGCACACACAATTACAAATATAAACACATGTACACAAACACAAACAAACACTATGAACAATTAAGATCTTCTGTAGAACATTAATGCAGCCGACCTTACTAAAAGATACATTCGTTGTAGTTAGTAAGAGGAAAGAGGTATGGAGGCAGGCAGTAAAGCCTCTATACGCGGAGGATCAGGTTAATGATGGTCAGACCAAATATACATGGCAGACTATGAAACCCTTTGCAGCTATGAGAACTGAGCTTAAAACGGCGAGCGCAACTACAAAAAGATATCTTTTCAAATTATTACCAATATCATCAAACTCCTATAATTTGAATACATGTTTTAACAAATTCTTTACCTATTATCATCTTCCTTTACTAAGAGAACCACAAACTGTTAGCTCCTTTTTACAACATCTATGACAAAATAATGCTAACCACCTGGCTGACTATAGTTTTATTACTGTTAATAGTGATAAAACTGAAGCACATATATATCTACTACATGAACATAATGTGCTACCAAATCACTATACTTTATCAACTTATGATTCTTATGACATCCCTCTAAAATTACAATTAAATATACCTATCTTTCCATCTACTTCATAT